GACAGTGTAATATATGACAAAATAATAATTTATAAATTATCAAGGGTTCATGAGGAATGGGGAGTGGGGAGGGAGGGGAAAAATCAGCTGATACCAAGGGCTCAAGCAGAAAGCAAATGTTTTGAGAATGATGATGGTAACAAATGTGCTTGACACGATGGATGTATGGATAAGAGTTGTACGAGCTCCCGATAAAATGTTTGTTTTTTTTCAATTTCTCTAATAGGACTTATGGTGTTTCCAAAACCAGTGACTGCTTTGGAGTACTCATTCAGTTTGTCTGATGCCAACTCCTATAAAGGATATGTTGAAGATCTCAGTCACTTTCTAAAGGGTAAGTGTGTTTTCTGGAGTCAGGGAAAGGAAATGTGCACTACACTGATTGCTTTTAGAAGCGTCTTTCTCAGAATTTATTTTAAACCATAGACAACTACAGGAGCCCTGGTGGTATTGTGGTTAGGCATTGATTGGGCTGTGAACGACAAGGTCAACAGTTGAACCCATGAGCTACAGTCTTAGAAACCCTAAGGTTCTGCTGTGTCCTAAAAGGTTACTATGAGCCACAGTCATCTTATAGCAGTGAGTTTTGGGTACATAACTAAAGAGTTGCAAGTATATTTTTAGAAATTTTTTGTAAAATTAGTTTAATGTAAGGAGCGTAATCCTAGTGGACAGTTGTTCCATTATTTTCTATCTGTCCTTTAAGGACACTAAGTAAGTTCATTAATGTAATATGTCTGCATTAAAACAAACCTGTACTCTGGGGGCAGGCCGCCTCTGAGTGGTGCAAGCAGTTTGCAGTAGGCTGCTGATTGCTAAAGGCAGGTAGTCCAAAGGCATTCATCAGTCGCGTGGCTGAAAGGCCTGCCTAGCTGCCTCTGTTAATTGGAGTATTTTTACTCTTGACATAGGTGCTCAACTCTGGCAGTGGGTTGTGGGTCTGTATTACATAAAATAAAGCTTCGTCAGCATGACTCTGGGTGTTTGGGGTCTAATGTAGTGTTTGTGTAGACAATGGAGTACGTAGCAGTTAAAAATACAGAAAATAGTTTGTTTATTTTTGTGTTACAAAGCACTCAATTCTGCTTTTAAATGCTAAATGAACCTTGGACAGGTTGTCTTCATATTTTGTTAGAACCTTTTAGAGAAAAAGCTAAATGTATCTGGCAGACTTTTTAAAATTGAATTGTTTTTAGAGGAATTTTAAGTTTACAGAAAAATTGTGCAGAGAGCACAGAGAATTCCCACGTCTGCCTCACCCCATGCACACAATTTTCCCTTCTGCATTTTTGCATTCATATTATCAAGTGTACAAGCTAAGAGGCAGTGGGTGTTCCGGGGTAGAAGTTCCCCTTCCGTGTTGTTTGGATCTGAGCCACTGTTCCACGGGAGCAGCTCCTGCCTGCTGGTGGCACGCGTGGTTCCCTGATGCTATGCATCACCACCGCACAGAGAAGACACTAGGGTTCGCTCTCTGCATAGTCTGATTCCAGCAGGGGTGGGGGGGGTGACGAGTGTGCACAATTAACATGCAGTGTAGTTTTCACTACCCTAAACCTTTTCTGTGCTCGACCTATTTTTCTATCTCTCGGGTCCCTGAAGCCACTGAACTTAACCGTTTTCTGGATATGTGTGACTTTGTAAGAAGCTTCCAAAGTGACCTACCATTTGGCATTCTTACCAGCAGTGCACAAGATTTCCTGTTGCTCCATTTCCTCACCAACATGGGGTGGGGGCGCAGGGGGGCTTAAAAATCATGGGGAAATTCCATTATCTTTTAATTCTGTTTTCCACAAATTATAAGCCCCTGATATGTTTTCTGTTTGACATCACCCCCCTTACTCCTTCCCTTTCTAAGTCACCACCACATTCACTCATCTGGATCCTTGTTACATACTCTCCTACCTGGGCCCACCCCATCCCCTAATAGTCCGTACTCAAAGAGTGGACTGTGTGATTCTTTAAATACTTGGATGTTTTTGTCTGCTTAAAAACTTCCATCTTGGTTACTGTCAAAAGCCAAAGAGCATCACAGGGTGTGTGAGGGACCTGCCCAGTCTGGTCCGCCCTTTGCCATCCCTGCCGTCTTCTCTGTTGGATCTAGCACATAGGCGAGAGCTCTCGGAGATGGGAGCTGTCACCATGGCTGTGGCTGTCTAGTGGTAGCTCAGCAAAAAGATAGATCTGGAATCCAGGCATTTGTGAGCATTGCACGGATTTCAGAAAGTTACTGGAACAAATGTAACGTCCCATTTAGGGATGTGATTTTGCCTTTGAAGAATAATGTCCAAAAGATACCTTATTTATTTTCAGTCTTCCAGTTTGGTTGATATTTATACCCAAATGCGTTCCATTTCTAGCGTACACTGTAGAAGACCAGAAGAATCTCACCGTCTGTCCTGATGGCGCACTTTTTGAACAGAAAGGCCCTGTGTACACTGCGTGTCAGTTTCCTCTGCACTTACTTGACGCATGCAGCGGCATCGCTGATCCTAACTATGGCTATTCAGCAGGAAACCCATGTATTCTTGTGAAAATGAACAGAGTGCGTACACATTTCACTGCTACTGCTTTTGCTTAATATCCTCCTATAGAAACCTGGTGAACAGTTTTAGATTGCTTTGGGTGAGTTCCTGCCTACCTTATTAAGTGATACCTCATTTGGGGTTAGTTTGAAGAAGAGCTGCTCGCAGTGATATTTACTGATTTGGGGTGGAGCGCAGCACAGTAACTAAGATTGCTTTAGAAATGAGCGCTAGATTAGAGAGTAAATGAACTTAAGCGTTTCCTCTTAGAACTAGGTACCTGAGCTTCTACCAGAGTCATGCTTGAAGGAACGCTATCTGGTTGTCATGCCTGAAACATGACTGTTTGTGTGCCGTGGTCAGCTGTGAATCCTGGGCAGATCTATAATGCTTTTGCTCTCTCAAGCCTTCCTGAGCTTAGTGTACGTATAATGAAAGGAAATGTAGAAATACAAGATCACTGGTGAGCTAATTGAGGTGATAACTGCAGTTAGAACCATAGCACCAGTGTTTGCTCTCTCGTCCAGAAGGAGCACCTGAATTACTTAGCTGTTGTGCTGCTAGGAGCAGTAGAGTGAATTTGGACTCAGGGCAGGCAATCCCACATAATAGAGAATTGCCCCAGTGGGTTTTCCAGACTCAGATCTTTATGGGAACAGATAGCCAGGCCTTTCTCGCTAGGGCTGCGGGGCTGCCGGGTGGTTTTAACAGCTTTCAGATAAGAGCCAGGTTCTTCACCATTGTTCTACTAGGGCTTCTCGTGGCCATTAGCAGATTAAGAAGCTCTCCTCCTCTTTATGTGTAATAAAAAGTACTGGCACTCAATCCCCCCAGAGTACAAAGGGTTCCTTTTCTGTGGCTCCATTGTAAGTGGGTTCTTATGTAAGTCTAATATACTCCCCTTAACCCCGTTTAAAGGATTCATTATTTATTTTTATTCTCAGTATCTTTATGCGTCTGAGCTTTGACTTTGGGGTGGGGAGCATTACCGCGATAACCTCGGCTGTCAAACAGCTCCAAGCTCCAACTTAACACTATTGGAACAGCAGGGTTTGGGGGGGAAAATCTCCTTGGTGTGCCCCATAGTTAACCAAAAACCCACCTTGGAAAAGCCTGTACAGGCCCAGGATGAGTCACAAATTGCATGTTTCCAGGGACACAAAGGGGTGACCTTCATTCTAAGCAGTGCTCTTGTATTAGTGTAGTAAAATATTCGTCTTTGTCCTTTTTTGTGCTTTATTTACATAAAATAACATAGCCATGGCTCCAAAGAAAGTTAATGGTACCAGTAGTAAAGCTAAGAGGAAAACTGAGACCCGTGATAGAGTTAAAGAGAGAGATCATTCCCAAATTTGAATCAGGTTGCCGCTGGAGGGTGAATACAACATGGTCAAGTCAACAACATTTGGGGAAGGCAGAGGAGTCGGGGTGGGGTGTGATTAAAGCAGCTAATGTAGCAAAGGTGTGAAGTTGTTAACCACGAAACAGTACCCTAGACCATCAAAGAGGTTGAAAAGTTACTATTAATTTGGGTAAATCAGAAACAACTTGTTGTCAATAGCTCATCTGAAACTGTGATAAGGGAGAAGCTAGAAGACTCCATAGTGATTTAAAGTCCTGGAAAAATGAATTTGTAAGTGTAATTTGGGGGCCTCAGAACCAAATATTTGGCTTTCCATTATGGGAAAAATATGTTCACTGCTCGAACATTTCAGTGTCCGGACATGAAATTGACAAGCAGGTTATCACTGTCCTTAAAAACTTAGAGGCTCCCTGTCGACACTTTCTTTTCTCTGGGAACACAGTAAGTCAGGCACTTCCTGTAGCATGAAAGTTAGAAACCCTGCAAGAGAGGTTAAAATTAGCCACAGTTAAGCTGTCATACAGAAAGGGTAATAGTTTGGACTCCCTCAACTGCCCAGAGGGAGAAATGCCTGGCACTGTCTCCCTAAAGATGACGGCCCTTTGGGGCAGTTCGACTCTGCCATAGAGGGTCGTTTTGACCTGAGAGCAGCAGCAGCAGTCTGAAACGGAATGGTCTGGCGGTTGAAGGTAAATGAAGTGCATTTATTTGTACAGGAGTCGTAGCTATTTAGGAGGATACACACACACACACACACACACACACCCACACACACACACACCCACCCCTATTCCACTGAAAGCCAAGAGAAAGAGCCCCCACTTCCTGTTGTCGGCACCAGCCTTCGCAGTGAAGTAGGGCTGAACTGGGGGTTGTTGAGAGGGTCTTGACAGGACAGCGTCAGACCCATACAGTGTAAGGAGACCTGCACAGCCTATGTTTCGGGTTTGGGAGCCAGTAGAGTTTATTCCAGAGCCATTGCAGGGACAAGGGTAGTTATTGCTGTTCTGATTGTTACAGTAAGTGTTGTAACATCTATCTTTTGGGAGGAATATTTACATTGGCAGGCATTCCATTAAGCAGCATATAAATGTAGATTTTTTTTTTATCCTTATGAGATAGCTACATAAGAATGTCACTGCTCATATTGAGTTCTGTCAGCTACATACATGGAGATGGTCTCTCCACAGAGCTTGAACAGAGTGGTGATAGTCTGACATTAAAGGAGCTGGCCATTTCTTTGGTGGCCACCCCAGGACAGTAATGAGATATCTAATGGGGTAAGATTTAATCGTTTAAAATTCAAGTGGGGAAAAAAAAAAATAAATAAATAAAATAAAATAAAATTAAAAAAATTCAAGTGAAAGCCAAGAGGTATTAATACCTTGAGTTAGAATTTACCTCAGGTCCCCAGCAGCAAAGGAGGAGGTTCACTGTATTTATATGTGATGTTTCAGTTCATTCATATTTTTTAAATTTTTAGATAATTGGATTAAAACCTGAAGGAGAGCCAAAGATAACATGTATTTCAAAGGTTAGTATTCTCCAAAAAATAACAGCTTTTTTTAAAGCATGGATTTTTCTTAAGAATACTTTAAAACTCTAGTGGGTTTGGTCATTTTTCCCCACTTATATTTTTATGGTGCCATTTTAAAAAATGTAAAACTATATCACACTTTTGTAGGTGATATATGTTCACTTTCTGTGTCTATTTGATTTCACATGCATTGCCTTTACATTTACCTGTGCCATATTTCTAAGAATTGCAATAATTTTTCTAGCTTACATCTCAAATTCTTTAATTGGTCTTATAATTGATGGCATCTTAGTAGTGGATCGTGAGACTTTTTCGAAACAGTGTGTAAACTGATGTGCTGCCCACCAGGAGCACTGTGACTCTGAACTGTGGTCCGTTGTCTTTGAGGTGGAGACGTGGTTTCCCAGAATTCTGTGCTCTGGGCATCTCACAGCTTGTTTGTTTTCTCCCCATGCTGCAATTGCAACTCAGACAAATGTGTCAAAGATGGGTAAGAGTTCCGAGGGGAAACGGTTGAGTTCTGAACTTAGTTTTATCGTGCTTAATGTTAGCATTCAGTTTGAAATTTGTCAATAGTTTACTTCAAATGGTTTGTTGAAATCACTTTGAAAGCTCTTTTTTTTCCTTAAGTATTTTAATTGCTTTCAATCACAAATGGGTTTCTCATGTGGACAGAAACTTCTGGCTCATGGTTCTAAGCTTGATAGGATCACCTGGAGGGCTCCCAGTTCCTGGGTGTTGCTGATGTTGGTCCAATATCAGGTGTCATTTAGTTTAAACCACTTGGTTTGAATGCCTATATGCCCTTTTATTTCATCTTGAATTCTTAATGGTTGATTTGCTCTGTTTTCATTTGAATTACAAATGAAAGCACAGAACCATGGTCTTAAACCTACTGTCGTTGAGTTGATCCTGACCCATAGTGACATATTTACAGAGCTTCCGAACCTTGTGGTTCAAGTGTAATTCTTATTTATGTCATTAATACTGAATTTAATTTTTTTTCCTTTTGAACATGGTTTGTTTGTATAAATGGCTTCTTTGCTCTTCGCCTCTGGGACTCTCTCTGTTTGGAGCAGGCATCCTTTTAAACTAAGGCCCTGGGCCACATGTGGCCCAGTTTATCCAGCCCGCCGGGTGTTTTTGCCTCGTATATTTTTCTTACTTCAAAATAAGATATGTGCGGTGTGCATAGGAATTTGTTCATAATTTTTTTAAAAACTATAGTCCAGCCTTCCAACGGGTCTGGGGGACAGTGAACTGGCCCCCTGTTTAAAAAGTTTGAGGACCCCTGGTCTGGAGTTCCTGAATTAAGGAACCCTGATGGCACATGTTGGTTATACGTTGGACTGTGATCCGAAAGATGAGCAAGTTAAAGCCACCGCTCTGTGGGAAAAAGACGAGGCTTTCTACTCCCATAGAGCGTTAGTCTTGGAAACCCACCAGGGCAGTTCTGCCATGCCTTATAGGGACGCTTGAGTCAGCGTTGACTCGATGGCAGTGAGTTTGGGGGTTTTTTTGGTGAATATGTAGGGTAGGAGTTCGACTGCTAATCACAAAATCAGCGATTGATTCCAATTCACCAGGCACTACTCAGATGAGGCTGTCTGTGTATACTCCTGTAAAGACTTAGTAGTTTTGGGAACCCTACACAAGGTCACTGAGTCTCAGTTTTCCATTAATCAACCTCAAATATTAAATAGTTTAAATAGAGGCAACTAAGGCAGAAAAACACTCAAGTGAAATTATGTATTTGCCTTTGGTGTGCTATTTTAGATTAACTATAAAACTTTTTTAAAGATAGAAGGACGTGAATGTAGACTCATGATGAATAATTTTAAAATAGCTTAGTCTCCTTATTGTCTGCTCTTTTTGTACATCCTTCTTGACAGAGTCCCTAGGTGGTGTAAACAGTGAAGTGTACTGGCCTAGTTGCTGAAAATCAGGCCTGGTGATCCGTTTCCTAAAGTTCCCAGCCTTGAAAGCCCCATGGAGCAGTGTAGCTCGGCTGTTGCCAGGAGTCTGAGGTGACTTGGCACCACTTAGAGTAATGTAGCAGCATCCTCTGTGTTTTGCCCTGCCTTGCTCCTGCCTCTTGTTGGCCTTTCTCACTCCCAGCCCCCTCACACATTACATCTGTGCTCTCTGGTGACCGTGAAGCGGAAGGAAGGGGGGGTAGAGCCTCTCCCGAGAGTCCTTTTCGTTTTACTGTACTCTTCATATGTGGGTTCTTGTTGTTCTCCATGTGTGCTTTCAAAACAAGCAGTGTGTTTATTCAGATTGAGGGTTCACACGTTATCGTAAGGTGATGTTCTATGTTTACTAGTGCAACCACAAACCTGCCACTTGTTTTGATCGTTAATAGTCTATGCTATCTACTTAGTATGTATTGCACCTATTAGAATTAGGGCTATTTTCAGTGTGTTAAACATAAGAATTTTTATATATGGCTTGTTTATATCGAGAATGCTAGAAGTCACCGTATATACTCGAGTATAAACTGACCCAAATATCAGCCAAGGCACCTAATTTTGCTCAAAAAAACTGCATTTAAAATGTGCTGGAAAACTCAGTTTATACCCGGGTATATACGGTAATAACATGAGTGAATTGGGCCATTGGTATTGATTGAATTTGTGCATTGATAGTGTCTATTTGTCAAATTGGGATATAATTGCACTAAATGCTTCAGTACTTGTGTTCCTAGAGTTACTCATGAGAACTAGGTAGTATTTGAATTTATTGTGTTGGCTGGGTTACTTCTTGTTGGGGGCACCGTAATTTACCTCTGGGTGGTTTTATCATAGTTATTATCACCTGGGCCCGCTGCCTTCTGACTGGACGCTCCATTCTAGACTAGCAGTTTATGGCACCTACTGCTTTCCAGTATGGAAACACAGTATTTTACTTCCAGAAAACTTCAGTCCCTGGTGCTTGCCTGATTTCGGTAGCCGGAAAAGTGGCACTTGGCATTAGTTGGCGATGGCAGGTAGAGTTACACAGACCATGGATATGGCCATAAGTTAGAGGGAACTCAGAGGGAGGGGCATGAGGTATGGTGCGAAATGGAAGAGGAGCCCAGGGTTGGTTGGTTGGTTTTTTAATCACTTTACTGGGGGCTCTTACAGCTCTTAGAACAATCCTTACATCCATTGTGCCAAACACATTTGTACATATGTTGCCATCATCATTCTCAAAACATTTTTTCTACTTGAACCCTTGGGATCAGCTTCTCATTTTCTTTTCCCTCCTTCCCCCACCCTCCCACCCTCATGAACCCTTGATAAATTATTATATTTTCACATCTTACACCATCTGCTGTCTCCCTTCACCCATACTTCTGTTGTCATCACCCTAGGTGGGGTAGTGGTTATGCATCGATCATTGCGATCGGGTCCCCCTTTTGTCCCACCCCCCACCCTCATGGTATCATAGCTACTCCATTATTGTTCCTGGATTCCATGTGTTACAAGCTCTTACTTGTACCAGCGTACATACTGGTCTAGCTGGATTTGTAAGGTAGAAAGGGTCATCATGATAGTAGGTGGGGGAGAAGCATTAAAGGACTAGAGCAGCCAGTTCTCAACCTGTAGGTCGCGACCCTTTGGGGGTCAAATGACCCTTTCACAGGGGTTGCCAGATTCATAACAGTAGCAAAATGACAGTTATGAAGTAGAACAAAAATACTTTTATATTTGGGCGTGGTCACCACAACAAGTCGCGGCATTAGGAACGTCGAGGACCACTGGACAAGAGGAATGTTGTGGGTTTCCTCAGTAACATACTGTACCCTGGCTGGCTCGCCCCTTCCTTGTGACCCTTCTGTGAGGGGATGTTCAGTTGTCTACAGATGGGCTTTGGGTCTCCACACAGCCTCCCTCCCCTCATTCTCATCGATACAATTTTGTGTTTTGGGTCTTCTATACCTGATCTTATCGACACCTCATGATCACACAGGTTGGTGTGCTTCTTCCATGTGGACTTTGTTGTTTCCCAGCTAGATGGCCATTTGTTTATCTTGAAGCCTTTAAGACCCCAGACGCTATTATCTTTGAATAGCTGGGCACCATTAGCTTTCTTCACCACATTTGCTTATGTGGTTTCCATCAAGGCTTTGAATTACGTATTATTTCCAACAAAGATGAGCAAGCCTCTTCTCAAAAATACACTTGGTAGAAACAAACAAAAAATGCTTGTGTTACTATAATTGCAGCAGCATTATATTTCTTCATCATATTTGTAATTGATACTGCTTTAATGTGAACACAATTTTTTCTTTTTCTAACCTATAAATACTTTCTTTTGCTTTCAACTTTAGAGTGAACAAGTGAAAAATATAGCAGCTTATCCTCCGACTGGACTTATAGACTTAAAATATTTTCCATATTATGGGAAAAAATTGCATGTAAGTATTTTTTTTAAGTGGTACATACACCTTGGACAGTTCAAATGCCGATATGATTATCATGATGTAATAATTATAAAAGGAAGTTAATATTGTTATAGAACTATTATTCCTACCATAGACTGTTAAAATGGGATGGGGCCACTTCTGACTCATGGTTGCCCCTATGTGACAAGGTAGATTTTTGAGACTGTAACATTTTACAGGGCTAGAGAAATCATGGTGTGATTTTGAACTGGTGACCTTGTGGTTAGCAGCCCAATGTGTAACCGCTATGCCACCAGGGCTCCCGTGCCCCAGATTAAAGGAAACTAAAGACACCAACTGATGGTTTTGCTAATTCCAACTTTTTACTCTTGTTTAAATTATCTTTGTTGTTGTTGCTACAAATATAGAGAGCAAAGCATAAACCAGCTCAACCATTTCCTAAATGTATGAGGGAGCTTCAAAATGTTCTTTTAAAAAGTCCATGTCTTTCAATTCAATTTTTCCATAGACTTTTTGAAGGCCCTTCATACAGTTGAGTGGCAGCTGACTACACATTACATTCTTCAGGTTGCACAACCTTTCTCAGCATCCTTTTCTGAGTTGTTCCCAATTAGCACTTGCTCACTGCTAAGGTTCCTATCAAGTTGTGGCCAGTTTGATTCCAGATAGAACACAATGCTCAAGGCAGTTAGGCTAAACTGTTACTTAGTGAACTCCTATCATTTAAGTGCTCCTGTTGCCCCAGACCTGCCTGGTGGTTGGTGGGCCCTCAGGTTGGCCCCTTGTTCTTGCATCATGTTAAGCCCTTACTGTGGCTCCAGTAGGTGCCTCAGGCTTATCTTGTACCCTCCCTGCCATAGCCCTGAAGTGTCAGCCCTGGCTCCCTTTAGTGAAGAGTTATAAATGGCTAAAGCAATTAGAGATATTAAGGGACTTCAAAAAGTCCCTGGAAAAAAAAAGTATTTGACTCCATTTTTCCACAGATGTTTTGAAGCCCCTTGTGTATATGCCAAGTTACATAGCAGCCATAAGTTAGGTCTAGAAGACATGGCATACTTTTTCAGAGCTTGTGAATGTTATCAGATAGCATGCCCTGTGGTAGAGAGTGCGTATTTACCCCCAGCACACACAGATGTAGCAGTCACAGCAGTTTGTTAGTATGTAAGGTCCCTAAGAAAACATCTGGGTGTACACTGCTGCAGATAGGAACCAGAAACACAGGAAATCCCGGACAGATGAACCCCTCAGGACCAGTGGTGAGAGTGACGATACCAGGAGGGTGGAGGGAAGGTGGGGTAGAAAGTGGAAACCAAGTACAAGGATCTACATTGGGGAGGGACAACAGAAAAGTGGGTGAAGAGAGACAATGGACAGTGTAAGACATGACAAAATAATAATTTATAAATTATCAAGGGTTCATGAGGGAGGGGATACGGGGAGGGAGGGGGTGATACCAGGGCTTAAGTAGAAAGAAAATGTTTTGAGGAAGATGATGGCTACAAATGTGCTTGACACATGGATGTATGTGTGTATGGATTGTGAAAAGAGTTGTACGAGCTCCCAATAAAATGATTTTTAAAAAAGGAAACCGTACTTTCTGATAGCGCACGAAGATGGGTTCTCAAAAGGCTGCTTCACGCAACTATTAAGCAACTCTTCAAAGGAGAAATTCTGAACACAATTATAGAATGTAAAATTGTAAGGAAAATGCAACCACATCACAATCTATAGCATTTAAATCAGGAAGATTCATAATCGTACGTACAGTCATCTATAAAAATGAAATATAAAAATGAATGAAATTTTTGGCTTTAAAAAGAACAAAGTAAATGAGACCGTGAATAGAAAATAATGAATGGGTCTATTAAGAAATGAATATCTGGGATAGTTCTGTTTCCTCAGATTGCAGAATCGATCTACTCTGGATAGGTTCTCAACACTGGATTTTTAACTGGGTCCGTTCCTTTGTCGTCCAGGTGGGGTATCGGCAGCCAATAGTTGCTGTCCAGGCTTTCTTTGCTCCTCTTAATGGCATCAAGAAAGAAGCGACAGTCGACTGCAAGATTAATGGCTCATCCAACCTGAAAAACGAGGATGATCGTGACAAGTTTTTGGGACGAATTTCGTTCAAGATCACAGTGAATGCATAGCATAAGTAGGGTGTTCTACAGAGTAAATGTTGTGTGTCTGTCTTCATCTTGTGTCAGCTGGACCTGCCATTCTAGAACGAGAGCACCTTGGAGAAAGGGGGGGCGGGGTACGTGACACTGGGGTAACATCATACTGTGCTTCTAGACCTTAGGTTCCATGTCCTCCGAAGTTACTGCCTGTTGCCTCTGCTGCCCTTGGACCAGTGTACAGATGCCATGTGAGGGCTGGTAAATACCTGGCGGGGAGCATGTGTAATGGGGTGGTCTTATCCTATTTTTATGTGGTTTACTTGCCAAGTTCTAAAGCTTAATGTGCTGTGCTGTGTAAATATTTTATGGATTTAACACTGGTTCATTGTCATTTTGATGCCAACACAATTAATTTTAGGGATGCAATGATGGAAGAATAAATGGTACCTGGCCAACATCAATTGACTTTATCGCTGCCATAAATGTGGGTGTGTGGAGACCCCTGAAGCTGTGTGTGTGAGGAGGAAAAAAGATAATAAAAGTGGATTTGAAAGTGTTACCTTGGATTTTTGTAAAGTTATTTTTTACATGCTTAAATAAATCATCTGTGGATCTTTTTGACTAAGAACACAAACCTTTTAATGTAAAACATGTAAAAAAGAATACTGATTAATTATTTTTAGTGTTAGAACTAAATATCTTTCAGAGTATTTCAGGATTGTGTATGAAACCTAGTATTTTTAGTTTAGCCAATATGGAAATGCACCTAATTTTTTTATGAGATTCATTTCATAAATTTTAAATTGTATGATTGTGAAATACCTTACTGTTTTTATTTAGCAGACTGTGGATGCTAATAAAAGTGTAAATTGTTAAATATAAAAACTTGGAATTTATTCAGAGCTTCATACCAACTGCTAGCATTTCATTTGAGCGATTAATTCCTTGTTAAGTGCTGGCAGGTGGGTTCCCGTTCTACAGGTGAAAGAAGGAGACCGCGTGCTCCAGCACCTGCCCTGAAGTGTGGTTAGCCTTGAGCCGTGGCGGGAGCCCCTCTGTCAGTCCATGTTGCTGAAGGCCTTCCTCTTTGTCCTGCTCCCTAGCACTTTACCAAGCAGCATGGCCTCTTCCAAGGCAGGTCTGTTCTGACAACATGTCCAAAGTACAGGACACAAAGTCTTGCCATCGGTGCCTCAGGAACATTCTGGCTCTACTTCCAAGACAAATTTGTTGATTCTTTTGGAAGTCGATGGTACTTACTATTCTTTTCCAGCACCATCATTCAAAGCATCCATTCTTCTTTGGTCTTCCGTACTCAGTGGCCAACTTTAACATGCACATGAGGCCATTGAAAATACTACGGCTTGTGTCAGGTGCACCTTAGGAACCGCCTTGCTTTTCAGCATTTCAAAGAGGTCTTATGCCACAGGTTTACGCAGTGTAATGTGTTGTCTGAGTTCTTGGCTGCTGCTTCCATGATCAAAACGAAATCCGCGATAACTTTATCATGTTAACTGTCGGTCTAGTTCTGAGGATTTTTGATGTCTTGATATTTGTCACCCAAATTGAAGACGATAGTCCTTGATCTACACCAGCAAGTGCTTTAAATCTTCCTCATTCAGTAAGCAAGATTGTGTCATGTTGTCAGTCTTCCGCCAGTTTTGATTTTACACTCTTCATATAGCCCGTCTTCTCAGATGATGCATTCATAGCCTGCTGAGACTAATGAACGGCATTCATCCCTAAACGTGGCTCCGTTGTCTTTAAATTGGGTGGCCATGGGTTAGTCAGTCTCAGGTGTACTCTTGGTGCCTGTCAGACTGTCTCCACTCCTCTCCTGAGAAAGGTGTAAGCATAGGATCTGTTTTGGTTTTTTAATCATGTTGTTGGGGTGCTCAAACAGCTCTTACCACAGTTCATACATAGATCCATTGTGTCAAGCATATTTATGCATCTGTTGCCATCATCATTTTCTTTCTTTTTTTAAAAAATTTTTTTAAAAATTTAAATTTTATTTTTTGCCATCATCATTTTCAAAACATTTTCTTTGACTTGAGCCCTTAGTATCAGTTCATTTCCCCACCCTCCTTCCCTCCTGGACCCTAATTTTTTTTTTCATGTCTTAACACAGACTGACACGGGAGTTATACGTAGATCATTGTGATTGGTTCCCCTTTTCTCCCCCCACCTTCCCCTTCTGGTATCTCTATTCATTATTTGACCTGAGGGATTTATCCTGCATTCCCTGTTTTGCGAGCTCTTAACGTGTGCCCGTGTACATGCTCTAGTCCAACTGGATTTGTAAGGTCGCATTGGGGTCATGATAGTGGTTGGGATGGGGGGGGAGAAGGAAGCATTAAAGAACTAGAGGAAAGGTGTTATACTGCACCCTGACTGGCTCGTCTCTTCCTTGTGACCCTTCTCTAAGGGAATGATCTGTTTTCTTAAAGATGTCTTTTTGTAGTTTTTTGAGGCAGGGCAGCAGCACATACTCTTGTCTTGTGTGTTTGGGTGCAGGTGGGGCCCAGTTTCTGGCATTCAGCAACAGCTATTAGGAGAAAGTGTGAGTGACCGGCTGGGATCGGCCAGTTGAGCTCTGCCAGCTCGTGTCTGAGTGGCCGCCTCTGCTCTGGCACTGAGCTCTCAGTCCCACGGGGAGCTGTGTCTATGCCTCTCAGGAGGAAGTGGTGATGTTCACACAGCTGCGACTGGCAGGTGTGATCCCTGCAGTTGCTAAAAGCCTCCCGACGCTTGTGAAGATGGTGCAGGACCAGACAGTGGTCCAGTCTGTTACATGTAAGGTAGACAGTCGACTCTGGCAAAGAACCACTACCTTGTGTACTTTTACCTGTTAGTGCTGGGCTGTAGAGACACAGTGTGTGTGTGTGTGTGTGTGTGTGTGTGTGTGTGTGTGTGTGTGTGTGTGTGTGCGCGCGCGCGCTACTCCTGCTCTGGATAATAAGGACACACAATATCCAGTTACCAGAAGCTAAACACTCCAGGGAAGTCTACATAACTCACAAGGAGGTAAGGAGTGAAAACAAATACCTTAAGGAAAAAAAAAAACTGTGGACATGTTGGTGTCTCGCTTGGTCATCCCAGCCGTGAGCCAGTGTCATGACCCTTGTGTTACAGGTAAGTGCAGTTCAGAAGTCAAGTAATCCGCCTGAGGGCTCTGAGCAATGAGATGTAAGCTGGGATTTCAAGACAATGTCACTTCTTGTCCCCTCAGAATGGTTACTGGTTCCATTTAAATGCCATCTTTCCCTCAGACTGCTGCTTAGAATCTGCTGTCCTCCCAAACGGCAGCTTCAGTGATTGGAAGTCCTGTCAGCCGCATCCGGCCCACTGGGGCAGTTTCCAACAGCAGGTGCGTTCATGGTCCTTACCAGTCTGAAGCCCCTTCGGAGAATGAAATGTCGTGAACATCCTTCTGTAGCACATGAAATGGCTTCCTGGTGCCACAAGTGCACCGGGCCCTGTGCCCCAAGTGAGTGCACTGCGTGGGGGTTCATCATGGTCAAGCACATACATACAACATGACAGGGTGGCAGCTGGGGGGTTAACCCGGGTGCAGTACGTAGATGACAAAAACTTCACGTTCAAGGCATCTCTACACACTAAACCGCAGGCAGCAACATTGGATCTCCAGTGTGGTGCTTCGGAAGAGTCGTATTATCCGAGTTCCTGACGTGCGCCCTGTCTCCCAACCAGTATGGCCAAGGCTAGTTACTGCAGCACAGGCAACCGAGGTGGATTGAAAGATTAGCAACAGGAAAGTGGAGTATCCATGAAGGGTTGCAACCTCAGCCTGTCTGCTGACATTCAAATCAGAGTCTTTCATAGCATGTCCTGGGTGCTAAGCGATCCATGGCTTGGCTGTACGTAGGTTTTGTCAAACAGCAAGCTAGCCTTTCCTGATAACACCATCGTATCACATTCATGGAAGTCTACAAGGAGGAAAGTATAACCAAGTATTTTCTACAGAGAATTTGACTTGGAGATAACGCTTTGAACAGTATGAAACTCAGCTTGTCTGTCCACAGAGACAGGTGGACTCTAAGATTGTTACCTACAATCTACCGTAGGTAGAAGGACGAAACTTCCTGCTTCTGTGAAGACTTAGCTTCAGAAGCTCCGCATCACCCTGCTTAGTGCCAGTGGCCGGGGTACTCTTGCACTCCAAACTGCCTTCGAGGCAATTCAACTCTGCCATCAGAGGGGCTGAAACTGCCTCTGGGTTCCTGACTGTTAACTCCTTCGTGAGCCAAAATCTGGTCTTTCTACCAGGGAGCACCTGGTGGTTTCCAATGGCAAACCTGGCCATTGGCCATCCAACATCGGGCCGTGACATCATCCTGCGTGTGGTAGTGGCTACTGAATCAACATTCAGGGAAACCTAAGGAAGTCGCAATTTGAAATAGTTTAGTTGGCAAGTTTACTCTCTAGTCACTGAATTAAGATTTGTGAGTCTATTGGTTGCACCAGGAGGCTTCAGAAGTTTGTGGGGGGAAATTCCAGTTTCATTCTGATTTTCCATGACCTTGAAGTTTAGCTTGGCCTCTGGATTAGCAGCACAGGCCACTGGAAGGCTGTGAGACGGCATCTCCGCTGCATACCTGCAGAGTATGTGCTGTGATGGGAGTGGGGGCCTGTGGGCTCACACATTCCAGGCGCTTGGCTCCTATTCTGAGGGGTATCTGAAATGTAGGACAAGCAGACAGCTGTGCAGACCCAGCACCTTCCCATCACCCTCCAGACCTTTCTCACGGAGTGTTTTCACAGAAGGGTTTTTGAGATGGGGGAGGGAGGTTTTCTGCTCTTGTAAAGATTTGCAGCCTCACAAGCCCACAGGGGACAGTTCAGTCATCCAGGGTGTGTGCTGGCAAAATCAGCTGTGTGAATCCACCAAGTCGTTTCACAGGACAAAGATTAGAGACTTTCTAGTCCCGGAGAGATTTACAGCCTTGGAAACCCACTGGGGAATTCTATGGAGTTGCTGTTACCTACAATCGACTCGGTGGCAGTGCCTCAAATGAGTCAAAAGGAACTCAATAGCAGGGAGTTCAGGAGTCTATTTCCAAGGCTTCCTGTACCGTCACCATCGTGATCACTGTATCCTCTGTGGAAGAACGTACTCCCTACTAGTTGAAGGTCTTTGAGAGCTCATCTGGTCATCTCTGCTAAGAGGACAGCAGATCCATACCTGACACAGCATGGCTGTGACAATACTTGTTCAACTCCCACAGAGCCATGTAAACAGCCAGGAGATTTGTGTAGTTAGCTAAGATCACCTGGCAGTCATGGATTAAGCCAATTCCAAACTTGTGAACTCAGAACACAAGGAAGATGGCCTGTGGCCTACGTGATACCAATCCACCTCCAAAACCCATTCCCTAGCTTTGGGTGCTGTGTTAGCCTGGGTACCTTAGAGAATTCCACAGAAACTCCTGTATAAGAGCTTTATATAAAGGTTAAGTGCACATCAAGAAAACATCCCAACCTAGTGCTGCCCAAGCCCACAAGTCCAACACCAATCCACAAAGTCCTCCATTTCAC